GCAAAAATGACAACCTTTAGGTCTGATTTGAAGCGATTTTGAGTAAACACCTGGATCATCCAACTTCAGCGAACTAAAGTTTATTTTTTAAGTATTTTCAGGAGATAATATAATAATTACTACGGATTATTTTAAATCGGAGCGAGTTTTTTTAGCAACGATATTTAAACGGTATTTAGCTAATAAATAGCTGGTGCCCCCGACTTCGTTTGCGTGGAATTGAAAAGCGTTGGATTAGTGAGTTCGATTCCCGTACCAGGCAAAATTTTATAGGGTTTTTCTGAGAGAAAAGCCTAAGTTACTCCTAATATAGACAGCTACTTGATAGTAAAATATTATCGAAACCGGTCCAGCCGTTTTGAAGATTAAGGAACAAACAGACAGACAGAAAGACAGACAGACAGACAGACAAAACATATTTAAACTGGTTTTTAGGCATCCATAGGTAACCGGTAACGTGCAAATAACCGTGTAAGCATGAAAAAAACCTATTATTTTGACATTACAAACAGACACTTCAATTTTATTTATTTGTATAGATATATTTTACCACATTCAAAGAATTAAATACAGCTTGTACTATGGGCATTAGAAAACTGGTATACATATACACATTTGACAGATTTTCGAATAATTTGACATATAATGTGACAAGTCAATTGCTTTGTTTCATAGTGATCAAAATAGTTTTCGTAAAATGTTTAAACTACAAAACTAACTATTTTAATAAGCGAAAATGTATAAGAATGTTTAAAAGACACAATATAATCACAGATATTTTATTTTAATAGTCCATTGACTCACGTCTCGACCTAAAGAAAAGATATATTCGTAGATTATATTAGACGGATAAAAAACATCTGTCTCCTTGGAAAATAATACTGATATTCTTTGTTATTTATTAAAACAAAAGCTTTGACTCGCAAAGGAAATAAACAGAGATTTAGAGCCGGTACAGAACTAATAAATGTAGACCATCGTATTTTTACACAGTACAAAGGTCAACCTGTATCTTTGTTGCTACTTAAATCAAATTTATTAAAATACTCGTAGAACCATTTAACATGATGAAGAAACAAAATATTTTTCTAATATACTAAAAAACCAACGGTTTTATTTATTTTATATAATTGAAATTTATAATACCTAATACCAGCAACTTTTCGCCATCGTTCCACACGGCAAAATTTTCATCGTCATCACCTGTGCGCTTTTCGAGACACTTTTTGCCTCGCATAACCAATTTGTGGAACGGGTTATTGTCTGCGGTATTTCCGGACCGATACGACCTTCAAACCTTCAAGAAAAGACGGTACTCCTTCCTAAAAGGCCGGCAACGCGTTTGTAACTTCTGAGTTGCAGAAGTTCATGGGCGGCGATGGTCACTTTCTATCAGGTGACCCATCTGCTCTGCAAAAGAGAGAGTTGATCGGCACTGAATTTTGAAAGAGATTTTATTACGAGAATTGGCCTTCAGGACAAAACCTGTTTCCGGAACGAGCACCTAGCCTTTGTTATTAAATGGCGAACACGAATTGGACGGAACTCTCCTGAATCATAAGCACATATATGTGAAATCTTATGAATATAGAAATAAAATAACACCAGAGCGAATGAGAACTTTGCAAACCTCTGGAGCTTTAAAGAATGACATGAACTAATATAAAGCATAACATTTCTCGTGTTATTTTTATTATCTCTACATTTGTGTCCAATGTGAGATTGCATGCATATTAACACGATAATATTACTACATTAGGTGCATTAATTTATTTAACTTTTATGAAATGTGACATTTCTATTATGAATCTTTAAGAAGCTATGAATAACGTGCTTGATTATAAATACTCATTATATTTATATCTTCAAGAGTAATTGTTATTAAGATATTATAGTAATAAAAAGTAATACCTATCATACACGGTTAAAGTCTTCTACTGTCACTGCCTTGGTTTAAATGGAACAAATTGTATTAAAATTTTAATAGAAGAAGCTTTACAAGGCGCTTTGCAAATTACTAGAACAAAAATGCTGGACTCTAATTCTTTGCATACACTGCATATTTTTATTTTGTTGGATAACTTGAGAATGTATGTACCGAACCTTACGTAACCAATATTAAGGCTTCTAGTATACTGTAATCTCACTGAAATAGTAAAGATAATTATAATAGTCATATTAATGATGTCTAAACAAGAGCAATTATCGGAGTTTTTTTATGGAACTAATCCACGGGATGAATATGGGTGGTGACACTCCATATTTTTAATCCATCACCACACAGTCCCTTATTATAATTAAAAACTCTTTACAAAACTCTATTTCGGCGTCAGCGTTCCTTTGCACCAAATTATTGGTATGATTATGAAAATACATTGACTTTATTTTATTGCTCTGAGTTTTTAAAAGATTAGCTATTTTATAGCACATATTTATTGACGGTTCTATTGATCTATTAGTTGGTGATTCAAAGTGCTAACCCAGAGGTCGTATGTTCGATTCCCACTCAGGACAAATAATTGTGTGTCAGCACGATCATTTATTCTGTGTCTGGGTGTTATTTATCTATAATACGTAAGTATTTAGAAATACGTACGAGTATTATATAAGTATGTTTATCAGCAGTCCGGTCACCATAGCACAGGTTCTGCATAATTTTGGATTAGACGGCTGTGTGTGTATCGTCATCTGCAGATATCGGTGGGCGAAAAGCATCTCTATCTGTGCCTCTTACTTTATGGTAGATCATGACCGTATCTTTCTACGTCGACGTCTAAGAAATTGTAGATTTATTTTGTTAAAATTTTAAATTAACTGTGATATGAAGTCTATTCGTACTATTATTTAAAATCTAAAGACACTATTTTCCTATCTTTATAAAGAGTTTACCCCCAGATCTCAGTGCTGTTACTGTAAATGGTCTGTTCACCTCTTTGGGCATAACACGTGAGTAAATAAAACACAGTGCGTTTGTGACTCCTGAGCTGCAGACGTTCATGGGCGGCGATGGTCGCTTTCCATCAGGTGACCCGTCTGCTCGTCTGCCCCCTCTGACATAAAAAAAACCAGTGCAGGTTGAAATATAACATGCTACTTAATACGGAACATCATTTATTTGATTGCTTTGTGGTCATGCGTGGTTATAAAAACATTTGCGACATATTCTTTACTCCATTCAACAAAATTAGACCCATAAAGACTTAAAGACTATATGAAGATTACACTCCTTTTATATGCATAAGTATTGTCAGGAAGTCTACAAACGCCGTTTTTGGGTAATATATGAAACATTTTTACTAGTACGCGTTTATATTACGCCATAAACCTTCTCAAGTAAAGTTGTATAACCCATATAATTCAAACATTTGTCAAGCTTCCTTTGACTAAAATACTTTTTGGGACTGAATAAATTCGCATCAATTTTGTATTATATATATTGTCTTGACGACGTGAATTTACCCGCCGTTCAGTGTGGATGACCGCATAGAGTAGTAAAACATTCACGATAACGCTACGATATATTTTTATTAAGATGATTTTTCCATGTCTTTGTACATATTTATTAAAAAATGTAGACAACAAAAATGAGTTTATTTCGTCTATGAAACATCTGCAATACGGCAGTGAAAATCTCGTGGTAATCGGTTCAGGCCTTCCAAAGATTAGCTTAACAAACAGACCGTAAATCAAAATATAAAGTTTGGTATAAACTTTCAAATACATTAAAGAAAAAACAATTAATATGACATCAAAAACAGACAACAGAAAATATTTTATTTGTGGCTGAATAAACATCCTAGTAATATAAAAGAAAGTTAAGTTTTCTATTTTCATTTTTGATTACTCTGTTTAGTACAGTGCAGTACAGTACATACCTGTGATACTGAAAAAGCCTAAATTATTAAATTATGAAAACAATAAAAAAAATATTGAAGATAAATCGAGGTTTTCGTTTGACAATTTAAGATTTAAATAGCCGGCTAAGAAAATTATGTTCGACGAGGCGTAAAATCGACATTTTGGTTTAGTAAAATTAACAAAATTGATAAATGCTTTACCTTACGCCTGTTTCTCCAATTATTATGGGATTTGGGATTATTATCTAGAATTAAGAACTGAAATCCAACAGGATTTTCTTGCGCCGTATCCGAAGGGATTTTCATTAAATTATTTTAGATTATCCCGTCAACAATTATTAAGTTTTGATTTCAAAATCATATCTGAAGTTTCGTCATCGAAAATATATTTGTATTAATAATTATACTGCAAACTAGAATAATAAATAATATGTTTATTACTTGGGTGACAAATAGGAATACGAATCTACGTACGCTCTTTGTTACTAATGCCTCTTATAAAAGACTAGCTGTTCTGACTTGTTGGAAGTACAAAATAATTTTTCCGATTGCCCCTGTTTCTTTTTCCAAAATTAAAGTAGTCTAATTTAAATATATATATATATGAGTAACATGATATCCCCTGATATACCCTGTAAACATTCATGATATCACCATCAGATTTCATACAAAATAAAGATTAAAAAAAAATACTTGTATAAAATTGTTACTTTTTCAAACGATTAGTAATAAACCAGACCCTAAACTGCGCAACATGCCGGCTGGTTTTTATACTTTAGAATACATACATTTATTTTCAACACCTTAAGTGAAGTTTCATAATCGCTTTTTTAAATATCTCAAGCAAAAACTTGTGCTTTTTAATTGTCAGTTTCTAACGTGATTGGGTAAATACGTTTTATGACGTTAAATCATTGAGAATGAAATAGTACTTCCAGAAACGTCAACTTTATAAAATATCTTTCCATGTACAGAATAAGATAGAGAGAAACGGGCGACGAAACAGAGACTAAATATTTTAATATACGTTGCCGGATATTTTTTTTTTTGGATTACCTATAACATTGATTCTGGGTATAAATTATTGAAACTAAACCCACACTAATCCCTACCCATTAATAAATTAATTTTCTTTCTTTACAGGTTTGGTAAGCGTTCTGATGCTTACACGAACTGGGCCAAGGACCTTGAGGTAAGACTTAACTGAAGATAAATTTATTGACTTACCCATTTTTTTATTTTGATCCGAGTATATTTTTTTTTAATTTTTTACACTCCTTTCTTATACGTCAAATAACCAATATGATTTATATTACATAAAACTTAGTTTTTTACCAAAACTTAATTGAAATCGTTGGATGCGTGGAGCACAGGGTTGGCTGTCGTGGCAAACCTTGGGGAAAGCTCAGTGTCTACCAGTGGAGGTCCTTCGGTTGAGGTCATGACGATGATGAAATAACACAGTTTTTAGGTTCTTAGTAAATCGCTCAAAAAACAATTTTTATGTACATTAAATTTGAATAGTTACCTGGTCGGAATTCGTCCGTATTCACTTTAAAACTGATCGATAATCGTCTTGGCGGTCGATTATTTATATCGAAAGGCTTGTTTTATTTCATTGAGTTACATTTGAACTGTGTTTTTTAGACGTTTATATCATGAAAGGTCAGACTAATATTTTGGACCCTTACAAGACTGTAGCCGTTTTTTTTGCATAACTTTTAACTTTATAGCACATACTGCCAAAAATTTTACATATTGTTATTGCATTTCATGCGCCATTTTGGGTAAAAGTCGAGCGCTAAGAATTTTCTTAACGTATTCATCAGCAGCTTTTACTAGTGTATTGCTGGACATAGGCCTCTCCTTAGAAAGGAGGGTTTGGCCTACTACCCCACGCTGGCCAGACGGGTTGGTATAGGGTTTGTTTCAAGGTTTCCTTGTCTTTGCAGTGCTGTTATCCTGCGTAGTTTACTCACTTAGTCGGCTCTTACGACACCCACGGGATGAACAGGGGTGGTGACATTCTGTATTCTTAATTCGTCACCACACGGATAGTTTAGTCTTAACGTATTAATATTTAGAAATTTTAAATAAGGAACGAGTAAAGATAAAGTCATCATTTTACAATTCAAAAATTCTTTTTTTAATAAATAACTATATGAAATTGTGAATAGGTACGTCTTAAAAACTAGGGGATAACTTTTTACTACGACAATACGAGAATTTTCGAATATTTATTTCTGTGTAAAATATTTTGATTGCCTTCGTAAAATCTTTCAAGCCTAGTTGAAATTATATTACAGTTGAAAATTATGAAACAAATGTTGCCTTTCAAGTAATAAATCGGAATCGTTTTGTAAAGAATTTGAGAAGAAATTTATAACAAGTTAGGGAAACTTCCATTTCTTTTTAAATGATTAACAGTAACCTACGTGATAATTGGTCAGATTTAACAAAATAAAATGGATTACGCTACAGAAGAATGTAGTTAATAATGGCACTAGTGTTATATTTCTCTTGATGTATAAAAGATACATACATACATAAAATCGACCAAGGATCTCCGAAAGAGTAACGCCTCAATTTGGATGACTATAATTTTATTCTAATTTACTATATAAAGGGATAGCCTATTTAAATAGGAAGGGTAGGAGGCGTTAGGTGAAATTTGTTTCGCTGCCACCACATAGGCGTAAGGTGAAAAATTGATCAACTTTTAATTACTTTTCTGTTATTTTTTATTTCTTTTTTATGTTAGAGGGGGCAGACGAGCAGACGGGTCACCTGATGGAAAGTGACTATCGACGCCCATGAACGTCTGCAACTCAGGAGTCACAAACGCGTTGCCGGAGAAAGTAAATTTAGAATTTACAATTTCGATAAAGGTCGTCAAATTTCGTTACTACAAGAACTATTGTTATACAATAGTTATTCTAGAAACGAAATTGCGAAGTTACACATTTTGACTAAGGTGTAGAGTTTGTAAATTAAGAGCTTGTAGAGTTAGAAGGTTGACTGTACATTAGATCTGAAAATTTTTTGACATTTTTTTGAAATTTTACATGAAAATGTTTTTGGTGAGATAAGTATTACTAGTACCATTTTTAGCTGAAATATTCGTACAACCATTTATTCAACGACCAGTCCAAGGTTATTTTGCATCTTTTATTTCTCCCTGGTGATTTCAGTATAACATGTATTAATGGTTAATATTTAATGAAATTTGACGACCTTTATCGAAATTGTAAATTCTAAATTTCCTTTATTAATATCGATGCTGCTTGTTGAAGCCTGAGTGTGACAATAGTAATTAACTCAATACTCTCTTAACGGAATATCTTTAACAGAAATATTTAAATTTTATTTGTTCAATTTATCAAATAGGCCTCGTTAAATGGGGGTGCGTGGTCCGGAACCTCCTTGTGGTGCACCCTGGGCAACGGAGACGGCAGCGCCTCTCTCCCTAGGTGGGGGAGGCGCTGCCGCCTGCGGCCAATTCCGGCCGAGGTGGGAACGGCCCGTCAAGGGCTGTTCGGAGGGCTGCTTTCCGCATGTCCCTCTGTTTGGCAGAGGGCATAGGGGAGAGCGGGCTGGGGGCGGACGGGTCCACTGCCGCTGGCTCTGTCCAGAGGTGGTGGACACTGGTCTGACGCAGACCACCGTCCGGCCATGTCGTAACCCTGACTGGCAACAGTCAGGAATGACGGCTCTTCGAGGGCTACGAGGAAGGCAACCTCTATAAAAAACCCTGGGGCGGACGGACCCGGTCTGGTGCAGACCCCGTCCGGCCCAGCCGTAATCCTGAATGGACAGGACCGGTGGATCTTCGGATCCGCGAGGACGTAAACCTCTATAAAAAATGCTCTAAGCCCACGTTCTGACGCCTGGCAAGGGGCTGAGTCGCTGGAGGGAGTCCAGTGCCGAAGGCGTCCCCGTCGAAGGACGTAAAACTTAAAAATGACATGAGGCCAACCATAGAGAAATCTACCCAGGAGGGTACCGGGCACACAGTGTCTGGGGAATCCCTCCCGGAGTCAAACGGCTCCGGCAGCTCCCACTCGTATTCTGGGGGGAGCACCAAATGTCAAACCTGCCCGTCGCCGAGCAGTAAATCCGGCGACGTTATCGCGGAGGACGCGAGAAACGTGGAGGTAGTGTCGAACACCGACACTGCCTCGGAGAGGAGCGGAGCGAGTACCCCTATGGTCTCAGCTGTGGAGCAGCACCAGAAGGGTACTCCAAAGCGCAAAAGGCGCTCGCTTCGCCTGGGCCTGAAGAGGCAATTGGAGTCGGCCTCTAGCGATGAGGCCTCGGCTCCCAAAGTCGGCACAAGCCGCAGAGGCGCTCGCGGCGGAGGCCGACTCCCCAAGGCCATGGTGGCCCGAAAGAAGGTGGCGGTCCAGTCCGCGGCTCTGGGAGGAGCCGAAGATGGGGGTCTTGGACGGAGTAAACAGGAGGGGGTCGCGTCCGAGATGTCGACCACTGATGTGGGGAGCGGGGGTGGGGGTGCTGGCCTCGTTGAGCTACGAGGCAAAACCGGCAACCCCGTCGACCGGATCGAGGAGGCAATCGGCGCGGCCGATTCCTTGCTTCAGACGTCCGGTGTGGCCGGGGGCCCCCAACAGGAGGCCCTGGTAGCGGTCGTGCGCTCCATAATCGAGGCGGGCAGACTCCTTGTGGCCGAGAGCAGGGCCCACGCTAGGGAGAGAGCCCGCCTCGAGGCGGATCTCGCCAA